TGCTGGGATTGCGGCGTGAGTCACTGCACCTGGCCACCTCGTGGCTTTTTTATATACTTAGGGATTTCATTCAACGCTAGTTTATTTGGTTGCTCAGATTGGTAAGCTTTGGCCACTGGGAATCCTGTCGCTGGATTCCTGGGTCCCTTTGCCATACCCCATCGTTGCAGGGTTTTTATTTCTGAGCATCGCTTTCCTTTCTGGCAACACAAGATGTTCCAGGCTCATCTTCTGTATTTCCTGCTCAGTGGTACAGTAGCCATTTCTCCGAGGAGCCATAGTTCCTTTTATTAGAGAATGTTTGCTAGGAAGCGAGATCGGACTGCGAGGCACTCTCATTGCTAGTACGTGCTCCTAGGGGCTCTCAGCTGAATTACTACTGATATCTCCAACTCTAATCCATTATTGCCATATGGAATCATTTTAGCTTCCTCCTCTTCCTGTAATTTTTTTGCATTTTTTATTGAGCTATAATTCACATACCATAAAATGTGCTCTTTTGAAGTATCAAATTTAGTCGTTTTAATGTATTCACAAGGTTGTGCAACCATCACCATGATCTAATTGCAGACCATTTTTACCATTCCACAAAGAAACCCTGCACCTGTTAGCAGTCATTCTCCCATTCCATCCTTCCCTCAGCCCCTAGCAACCACTGATCTACTTTCTCTGTGGATTTAGCTATTCTCGACATTTTATATAAATGAAAGCATACAAGATGGGGCCTTTTGCAAGTAGCTTATCTCATTTAGCTTAATATTTTCAAGGTGCATCTACATTACAGCATGTATCAATACTTTATTCCTTTTCATGGCTAAATAACATTCCATTGTATGGGTGACCACATTTTGTTTATCCATCATCAACTGATGGACATTTAGTTTCTTTCCATATTTTAGGAATGCTGCTATCAACATTCACATACAAGGTTTTGCATGGACTAATGTTTTTGTTTCTCTTAGATACATACTTAGGAGTGAAATAGCACAATTGTGGTAAATATGTGTTTAACGTTTGAGGAATTGCCAAAGTGTTTTCCAAAAGAAATGTACCATTTTACATTCCCACCAGCACTGTATGAAGGGTCTAATTTCTCCAAATCCCTCTGAACCCTTATTGCTTTCCATCTCTTTAATCACAGCCATCCTAGTGGACAGGAAGTGGTTATCTCATTGTCGCTATTCACATTTCCCTATAGACAAATGATGTTGAGCATCTTTTTACGTGGTTATTGGGCATTTGTATATCTCCTTTGGAGAAACGTCTATTCACATCCTGTGCCCACTTGTTAATTGGGTTGTCTTTTGGTTGAGTTGTAAAAGTTCTTTAAGTTTTCTAGATATTAGGCCCTTATTAGATATATGATTTGCAAATATTTTCTCCCATTCCATGGGTTGTCTTTTCATTTTTTATAATATTATTGGGGCACAAAAGTTGGTAATTTTGATGAAGTTCAGTTTATTTATTTTTAGTTTGGTTGTTATGCTCAAACATTTTAAAGAAATAAGTAACTATACATTTTTTCTGGCAAAGTATCAGGTTATTCAGTATTTTTATCTTCCTTCCAAACATGGCAATAATTTTTATATGCTTTAATTTTCCACTGAACTCCCTATCTTGACATTTTTTATTTTTAGTTTCACTTTTAACATTAAAAAGTTTTTTTAAAAAAACAGTAGTTAATTCAATTTACCAAAATACTGGTGTTTTCTCATTATCATTTTTAAATGTTTCCTCCTTTCTTCTGCTGAAACATACCTTGTTTCAGCAATTGTTTCAGTGAAGATTGAGACATGGTAAATATTTAGTTTTTATATTCCAAACATGTCTTTTTTTGCCCTCAAACTTAAATGAAAGTTTAGCTAGGTATAAAACTTGTGGTTCATAGGTATTTGCTGTCAGGATATAGAAGGCATTACTTTTTGAGTCTGTTATTGTTAAGATGCCTGCTATCTGTGTGATTATCATTTCTTTATAATATTTTTATTGCAGTTGTCTTTCTGTGGTTTTTCTCTGTGTTTGCTGTACCACAATTTTATTGAACCATGTATCAGTATGAATTAACTTTCATGTTTCCTGTGTAGTCCTTTTTATCTAAGGACCTGTATCTTCCTTCCTTCTGGAAAATTTCTGTTATTTTTTCAAATTCTTCTCACTATTATTTTCTACTTTCTCCTCTGCCGGCTCCTCTAAACTTCTGCTGTTCTTAAGCTATCCTTTGAGTTCTTTGAACTCAAAGAACTTGAATCAAGAGCATGTTCCTATTGCTTGTGTCTGGGTCTCTGTATTGTCTTCTGGTTCATTTCCTCAGTTTTACCTTTCAATTCACTAATTTCCTCTTTGATTGATGTCTAGAATTGATCTCATTTATTTATTTTATTATTTTTTATAGTGATGGGGTCTTGCTACATTGCCCAGACTGGTCTCCTACTCCTGGCCTCAAGCGATTCTCACACCTTAGCCTTTCAAAGTACTGGGATTATAGGTGTGAGCCACGATGGTTGGCCTATCTCATTTACTGAAGGTTGTTTTTACCTTAAATTTTAATGGGTATTTCTTTTGTGTCCACCACTTCTAAATGTTCATTAGTGCCTACTCTCGTTCAATTTATGCCTATTTTGTTTCATAACATATTTTTATGGGTGTTAGTCCTTTATTAAGGACCCTTTGATATCTTAAATTCATTTATTTGAAATATTTGTTAGTTTTAAATAATTAATTTCATCTGGAGTCAATTTATGTTCCAATTGAAGGGTTTGTAGACTGTCTTCCCACGTGATTTCTTCATGGCAGCAGACTTTTTAATTGCAGGGTCAGTGTGAGTAAGGAGTATTTTTTTGTTTTTTGTTTTTCCCTCATTCTTTCTCTCTTGACTAACTCCTCTCTCTCTAGTGGTTTTGTCTCCACCTTTACCCCCGTTCAGGACCAGGCCTTATAATAGTAGTTTAGAGCCCTACGGTAATATCGGGAAAAACGTTTTGGTTCCTAGACTTGAGCATGTGTCTCTCCTTCCTTCCTAGTAGATTCTCTGGTTGCAACAAGCCTTAGCCCAGCGATGTGCTGGAAACAGCTTCTACCTACTCATTAGGACCAATCATTATGTTTTAAGGAATGTTGTGAGCTGGTTGTTGAGTGGCCGTTATTAATAATCAGATTATATAAACTCACCATTAAATAAATTATATTAAAAAGCAAAGATAATACATACTCAAAACTGATCACTTGGTAATTCTCTTGCTAAATGTTGCTATGATCCATGCTCGTGAGCCTGTTGGCAGCTTTTGTATCTATATGGTAGAAACAGATCTGATATATATGTAATGAGCACTACTGGGCATCTCTTCTACATCTGGTTCAGTGACATCACCTTGGCAACTTAAAATCAGCCGCAGCCACGATGGGAGTATTTACGCCATGGAAATTGACAAACATGACAGATCAGGTCTTTAAAAAAATAATAACGTGTTAAACATTTACCAGCCTACCATTTCCCCAGCCCCGAGCAGCAGCAGCGTTCTTCAGCCTCCTTCCATAAACAGAGGCAACCACAACAGCCCCTCTTCCAGCAGGGAACCAGGCTTTCTCCTGAAAATGCTTTCAGTCTCTGTGATCTTCTAAGAGCTGAACTCCTGGTGGCATTTCACTCCCACTCATGACTTTGCCTCTCAGTTTTGTGTCTGGCCTGTGGAGCTATTTGTTTTGTTTTTGAACCTACTTATGTCTTTGGGTTTTCTGTTTTCCATTTTATCCATTACGGCTGTTTGGAGCAGAGGGGCTTCATCAAATGTCAAAACATGCTCTGCTATCTTAATTAGAAGGCCGTAAGCATTATTTTATTGATTGATTGATTGATTGATTGAGATGGAGTCTCACCCTGTCGCCCAGGCTGGAGTGCAGTGGTACAACCTCAGCCCATTGCGACTTCTGCCTCCCTGGTTCAAGCAATTTTCCTGCCTCAGCTTCCCAAGTAGCTTGGATTACAGACACCTACCTGCCACCAGGCCCAGCTAATTTTTTTGTATTTTTATTTATTTATTTTATTATTTTACTTTTTGAGACAGAGTCTCGCTCTGTCACGCAGGCTGGAGTGCAGTAGCACGATCTCAGGTCACTGCAACCTTCGCCTCCCGGGTTCAGGTGATTCTCCTGCCTCAGTGTGCTGAGTAGCTGGGACTACAGGTGTTCACCACCATGCCCGGCTAATTTTTCTATTTTTAGTAGAGACAGGGTTTCACCATGTTGGCCAGGCAGGTCTCGAAATCCTGACCTAAGGTAATCCACCTGCCTCGGCCTCCCAAAGTGCTGGGATTACAGGCCTGAGCTACCATGCCTGGCCAATTTTTGTATTTTTAATAGAGATGGGATTTCACCATGTTGGGCAGGCTGGTCTCGAACTACTGACCTCGAGCAGTCCACCCACCTTGCCCTCCCAAAGTGCTGGGATTACAGGCATGAGCCACCATGCTGGCCAATTTTTGTATTTTTAGTAGAGATGGAGTTTCACCATGTTGGGCAGGCTGATCTTGAACTCCTGACCTCAAGCAGTCTACCCACCTTGGCCTCCCAAAGTGCTAGGATTACAGACATGAGCCACCATCCCTGGCCATAAACATTATTTTTAAAGGTTATTTTTATAACTTCTGTCATCCGGATATTTTTATAGGCCTCAACATGTTTTCTTCAGTCTCCTTTGTCTTCTCTCAAAGTCATTCACTTCGTCTTCCCTCATTTTCTTCCCTAGTGCTTTTTTGTACTAGTTATGACAAATCTGTTAATAATATATTGTATATATAAATTATCCTTGCAAAGATTCTGGACATCATATACACTTTCTATTTGTTGATTATATACAGAATAAACCTATACATTTAATATGCTGATTCCACATAATGGTATAATAACATATTTAACATATTACTGTTCACGGAATAAAACACTGGAGACCCCAGGCCACCTCGTGGAAGTCCTCAGCCCCTAATGTCTTTTTCCATTCCCTGCAGGTGTCAAAGCCGTGTTCTCAGGCCACTACCACAGGAATGCTGGGGGCACCTACCAGAACCTCGACATGGTGGTGTCATCTGCCATCGGATGCCAGCTAGGCCTAGACCCCCATGGGCTCCGAGTCGTGGTGGTCACTGCCGACAAAATTGTTCACCGATACTACAGTCTGGATGAGCTGAGTGAGAAAGGAATAGAAGACGATCTCATGGATTTGATAAAGAAAAAATGACGGTCTTTACTGTTTGGTTCACTTTTTACTTGCACTTTTTTTTTATTTTCTGCCAGAAACAGCAACTGCACACAACCTCTTGCTGAAATACAAAAATAACCCAGGCAGGTTTGTGAATTTCTGTCCTTCTGCATAAATCAGAGAGCTGGTGCCCTATCCTGAATTATATTCAAAATAGAACTTCATTTCCTTTAAAATGGAGCAAGAGAGCCTGGAAATAGGTTTTAAAAATGATATTAGACTATCTCTGCATGGATGTTTGAATAAATTCTCCTAATGCTATGTTTCCCAACTCCACTTTTGAATGGAATTGTTTTCTGGTTGGCATACGATCAAAGCCTATCAACCTCCATTCCTATCAGATATCCAAGTATGATTTTTGATAATTCCTTAAACAAACTATACCTGATTATATTAAATTGTGGTTATGATTCCCAAAATGCTGGGCAAAACAAACTTCATCTCCTTTCCTTCCCAGCAGAATGAACAGCTGTATTCCTTATTACGAGAGCCATGCACACTTAGGTAAACAAGGAGCCAAGTAGCCACCTTTTGCTGTTAAATTCTGAGACTTCTGTTATTGCTGATGATAGGAACAGAATGCAGCTGATATAGCCCAGAACTTAAATTTGCCTTCCTGGGTGCCTAGGAAAGTCACCTTTGCACATAAATTGGCCATTTATGAAAATCTCTTCCCTAGAGACTGAAACCGCAACTCTAAAACGCCCCTTCTCCAGTCGCTGGGCAGCACATTCCGAATTTGTTCACATCCACATTCTGGCTCTGTAGCCACTTTGCGGATAGTTGGTCTCATGGGATCATAATCCCCCTTCATTTGTGAGACTCTTAATTGTGTCCACTTTGACAGAAAAAGTGGAAATGTATGCTGAGCTCTCAGAAGAAACAAAGCAGTTTAGGTCTTCGTGGAGAAATAGAAAAAAAAAGAAAGAAAGCAGAAATTCTGATGGGACCAAAACGGTGCTTTCGGCCACATCCTCTAAATTGGCCCTGATTTTGATTACATGTACTAATGCAATATCCCTTGACAAAAGAGCATAGGTTATTTCAAATCAGCATTGTTTTTATGCAACCTGTTTTACTGCATCTTCCCAGCAGCTCCTAACCACTGCTCAATTTTCTCTTTTATAGCCATAGTTCTGGTGGACAAATAACCTAGGTACTAGGGACTCCAAATCCTGACAGAGAAAATGTACAGGGTTACGAAACAGCACTCAGTGGGCACTTAGTAATGCGAAAATGACTTCCAAAGCTGGTTACCCATGAACTGCAAAGTCCATTAAATTAAAAGACTTTCTTGTTACAAAGTTTTAGTCAACGTAGCAAAACCATGGGAAATTAAATAGAAGGATAATTAAATATGTAAATTCATAAGAAACAAAAGACAAGAAGTTAATTATATGATAGATTGGCAACACCATAGTTCATTGTTATGTGGCACAAGAAAATTAAAATTTTTTTTGAACTAGAATGCTCTTCTTTTAGTGTTTCACTGCAATCTTGTTTTGCATTTGTTTCTTTACAACAGGTGTAGGTATAGGAGGTCAAGAAAAGGAGTTCAGTAAAGGGCATAGCTAATAACAACCACATATTGGGCCACACACAGTGGCTCACGTCTGTAGTCCCAGCTACTCAGGAGGCTGAGGCAGGAGAATCACTGGAACCCAGGAGGTGGAGGTTGTGGTGAGCCAAGATCGTGCCACTGTACTCCAGCCTGGGCAACAGAGCAAGATTCTGTCTCCAAAAAACAAAACAAAACAAAAATAAAAACACATGGTGAAACTTGGATCATAAACACAGAGGGCCTCATTTGCAGGATGGGGTCTTCTCAGAAGGAGTCCTCATTGTGGTCTTACACAGACACAATGCTCTGAATTGCGGCACATGGGTTTGCAGAAGGATGATGGAGATAATTAAAAGTAATGAAAATGAAACTTACCAAATCTCCTTCCCCAAAAACTTAATAAGTAGAAGAACTGATTCAGAAGTACCCCAAGAATATGCTAAGAAAAGGAAATCACATCAACAGATGATTGGATAAAGAACATGTGGTATGTATACACAGTGGAATACTATTCAGCCATAAAAAAGAATGAAACCATGTATTTTGCAACAACATGGATGGAACTGGAGGCCATTATCTTAAGTGAAATAACTTAGAAGTGGAAAGTCAAATACCTCATGTTCTTACTTATAAATGGGAGGTAAATAATGTATACCTGTGAACATAGAGTGTGAAATAGACATTGGAGACTCAGAAGGGCGGGAGGAGAGTAAGGGATGAGAAATTACCTAATGGGTACAATGTACACTGTTCTGGTGTTGATTGAGGCAAAAGCCTGGACTTTACCACTTTACACATATCCATGTAACAGAACTGCACTTGTACACCTTAAATGTATACAAATTTAATTTTTTAAAAGGAAGAATCATAATATATTCTCACCACTTTTTAAGTAAACAGCAGTATTTCCCAGTAGGAAGAGGTTCAGAAAGAAATCAGGAAATGTTTTTGTAGATGAGCATTCTATTATTCTGATGGGTCATGACTAGTGTGTTCGCTTGTGGTTCCTTTGCCTTTAAAAAAAGGGAATGATATTAAAAGAAAAAATAAGTGCCTTATACTATGAAAAATGGTAAAAGGACTTCCTGATTCTAAGTGCTGTGGTTTTGAATGTTTATTGTGTTTTAAGTGCTTTGGCTCAGAAAGATGGAGGTCATGTGGCCAAGGTCACCCAGCTTTTCTTGATGGAAAAGGAATGGGATACAGATGGCCCAAGGCTCGAGTCCATGCTTCTGAACACTGTCCTGTCTTGGAAAACATTTCTGAGGGGTGAGAGGTTGTGTCAGCTCAGCCAGAGGCAACACAATGGCTACAGTATTCAGCACCTTAGACAGCGTTGGCTGGAGCGCGGGGGATTTCCTTCCAACTCTGCAAAGCCTAGACCAGACCCTGATTGTACTAGGTTCAGGGGGCTGAAGCTTGTCCAAAGAGCAGATGGTTCCAGGGGGAAGATTTTTACTGGAGGAGATTTAGAAACCAAACTGAACCGTAATGAGTCACGGGATGCAGTCCTGTCTGCCTCAGTAACTGTCCGCAGCTCTAGCAGATGATGCTTCACTCCATGTCTGGGGCTTCCACCCCAGGGTGTAGGAAACCACCACAAGCTGTCTCAAAGCAAGGAATGTCACCTACTGCTCCCCTTCCCAATTAATCACTTTTATTAGAGGAGAAAAACCACGAGGGCCTGCTACCAGGGAAGGTTTTTAAAAGTGACCTCAAGTTGGATTGCAAAGGCTCATGTGACTTTGGGAATGGGCCTGAGAAATGATTGTTCATTTTTTACAAGAAATAATTTTATCTCACATCTTCAGTCATGCCTCTCCTAAGATTTGGGAGAATGGGGAAAAAATCTAGTAAGCTTTATGGGACTAGCAATGGAACGTTTTATCCTACCTTGTGATTTTCAGTATTACGAGATTATTGGTCACTTGCAGAGTTACAAGGCAAGCACTCGTTTTAAGCCTGAATAAGACTAGGACTATTGACCTTATACACCTGTAAAAGATACTATGGTGTATATAACTGTAGAAACTATATATACACAGTAGTTTAATACTGTAGTCTGTATTCCAGTGCAGAATCTTTTGAGAAAAGGTTGCAAAAACTTCATTTGCATTTACTTGAACTCTTTTTTTTTTGAAACAGGGTCCCGCAATATTATGTTGAGCTGGGGAAAAAAGAAGATTTAGGAGTAAATTGCCAAGGCAAGTTCAATTAAAAGCTTTCTGTAATAGACACCAGGGATTTTTTATTCAGATAACCTCAACAGTTTTGATTGCACATGTAAGATAACACTCAACAGGTAATACTGATTTTTATAATTTCGTAGAATACTGTCAAGCTATGGGAGAGCTCTTACATATTTTTTAATGAGTGTGTGTATATATATATATGTATATATACACACACACACACACACACACAGTAAAAGTGGAGAATTCTTTTCTTAGAATAATGATTTTAGCGTTTATCTAGAAAAGATTTTGCTGACTAAATTTTCTTTTTCCGCCAGTGGATTCTTAACATCAGTGCATGTACATACAGACAGGTTGGATTTTTCCTTTATGTTTTATCTATGTAAATGAAGTTGACTAAATGTGAATAATCATGTTACCCTTCATTATTCTGACAATTACATTTAAGATGTAGATGTCTTCATTAAAGGGGCTTTGCAGCACACTTAGATTCTGAGTGACCTCTGTGCCTGTCTAGAAACTGGCTTCTTGTTATCATTTTGACGTCCACTCAAACATGACTGCTGCAAGTGGCCTTCCTGCTTGATGCAGTTTGGCTCTGTGTCCCCACCCAAATCTCACCTTGAATCGTAATCCCCAAAATCCCCACGTGTCAAGGGACAGACCTGGTGGGAGGTAGTTGGATCATAGAGGCAGTTTCTCCCATGCTATTCTTGTGATAGTGAGTTCTCACAAAATCTGATGGTTTCATGTTGGGTACTTCCTCCTTCACACTCTGTCTCCTGTTGCCATATAAGACATGCCTGCTTCTGCTTCCACCATGATTGTAAGTTTCCTGAGGTCTCCCCAGCCATGCGGAATTGTGAGTCAATTAAATCTCTCTCTCTCTCTCTCTTTCTTTAATAAATTACCCAGTCTCAGGTAGTTATTTATAGCAGTGTGAAAGGGGACTAATACACTGCTCCACCCTGTCTAAGGTTACACTACTGATCCTAGCATTGCATTCTCATTCCTTTGCTTGTTTTCTTCAGAGAAATGCCCTTGCTTAATTATCTTTAAGTGTAATCACTCTCACACATACACGAGAATGCAAGCTCCAGACAGCAGGGACCATGTCTGTTACATTTGCCACTTTATCCCCAGCAGCTGGAACTGTGCCTAATGGCAGAGAGTTGCTGCTCAAAGAATACTCAGCAATGGGTGGTGAGTAAATCTGTATAATTGGCTAGGCATGGTGGCTCATGCCTGCAATCCCAGCACTATGGGAGGCTGAGGCAAGTGGATCATGAGGTCGGGAGTTCAAGACCAGCCTGGCCAAGATGCTGAAACCCCATCTCTACCAAAAATACAAAAAAAACCAGAGATACCGGAGGAAGAAGGCCAGGTCACTGGGGAGTGAGGAGTTCCATCAGGGAGACAGCTGGGGATAAGAATCCTCTAATTTGTATGTGAGCTCCACACGAATCTCTTGCTTACCTCCAAAGCATGCATGAGTATGACAGAATTGGCAGCACAAGCTTAAAGAATTAAACCAAGATTTGACTCACTGCCCAGAGGAAGCAACAGAGAGCTTACCATTTGAGTCTGATCGAGTTAATTGTCTGCAAAAGCCTCAACACTCTTCAGAAGAATATAACTGAATCCAAGCTCAGTGTATTATTTACCTAGCCCAGGATACAACCCAAAATTGCTTAACATACAACAAAAGGAACAAAAAAAAAAAAAAAAAAACAGAAAAAGGAAATGCATCACTCTCAAAGGAAAAGACAGTCCACTGTAAGAGGCCCCAGATGTTAGAATCATCACTCCAGGAGAAAGAGTAGCTACTATAAGAAGGCTTTATAAAGTAAAGGAAAATATACCTAATATGAACAAAAAGAAAGGATATCTCCTAGAACATAGAAAAAAATGAAAATTTCAGAATTGAAAAATAATCTAATATTTTAAACTTACTGGACAGGCTTAATAGCAGAGTAGGGAAGAGGGAGGAAAGAGTCAGAGAACATGAAGACAGATTGATAGAAAGTTCTCACCCTAAAATACAGAGACAAAAAGGATTTTATTAAGCAAACTTCACAACCCTATATCAAAAGTCTAAAGTACAGTGATGAGTACCAGAAAGTCAACAAAGCATGAGCCACAAAAAAATATTTAGAGAAATGATAGCCAACAACTT